AGGCTTACAGGTGTGGCTGGACAGGTGGGCAGGAGGCTTGCAGTTGTGGCTGGACGGTTGGTGGGCGTGGCAGGAGGCTTGCAGGTGTGGCTGGACAATGGTGGGCGTGGCAGGAGGCTTGCAGGTGTGGCTGGACGGTTGGTGGGCGTGGCAGGAGGCTTGCAGGTGTGGCTGGACGGTTGGTGGGGCGTGGCAGGAGGCTTGCAGGTGTGGCTGGACGGTTGGTGGGCGTGGCAGGAGGCTTGCAGGTGTGGCTGGACGGTTGGTGGGCGTGGCAGGAGACTTGCAGGTGTGGCTGGACGATTGGTGGGTGTGGAGGAGGTTTGCAGGTGTGGCTGGACGACTGGTGGGCGTGGCAGGAGACTTGTAGGTGTGGCTGGACGATTGGTGGGCGTGCCAAGAGGCTTACAGGTGTGGCTGGACGACTGGTGGGCGTGGCAGGAGGCTTTAGGTGTGGCTGACGATTGGTGGGCGTGGCAGTAGGACAGGTGTGGCCGGACGACTGGTGGGCGTGGCAGGAGGCTTACAGGTGTGGCTGGACGATCGGTGGGCGTGGCAGGAGGCTTGCAGGTGTGGCTGGACGATTGGTGGGCGTGGGAAGAGGCTTGCAGGTGTGGCTGGACGATCGGTGGGCGTGGCAGGAGCTTGCAGGTGTGGCTGTTGGTGTGCAGGTGTGGCGGACGACGGTGGGCGTGGCTTACAGGTGTGGCTGGACGGGTGGGCCAGGAGGCTTGCAGGTGTGGCTGGACGATCGGTGGGCGTGGCAGGAGGCTTACAGGTGTGGCTGGACGATTGGTGGGCGTGGGAAGAGGCTTACAGGTGTGGCTGGACGATTGGTGGGCGTGGCAGGAGGCTTGCAGGTGTGGCTGGACGATCGGTGGGGCGTGGCAGGAGGCTTACAGGTGTGGCTACGGTGTGGCTGGACGGTTGTGGGCGTGGCAGGAGGCTTGCAGGTGTGGCTGGACGATCGGTGGGCGTGGCAGGAGGCTTGCAGGTGTGGCTGGACGGTTGGTGGGCGTGGCAGGAGGCTTGCAGGTGTGGCTGGACGTGGTGGGGCGTGGCAGGAGGCTTGCAGGTGTGGCTGGACGGTTGGTGGGCGTGGCAGGAGGCTTGTGTGGCTGGACGGTTGGTGGCGTGGCAGGAGGCTTGCAGGTGTGGCTGGGCGTGGAGAGGATGATGAGGAAGGGAGGGTATAGGGGCGGATGGGTGTGTCAGCTAGGATATGGGTATGGGTAAGTGTGGGGGTAAAGGGTATGGTTGTGGGTGGGCGTGGTGGGGAGGCTTAGGCGTGGGCGGTCGTAGGAGTGCCGGGTGGGGGTGGGGATGGGTGTGGGGGAGAGGGAGGGGGGAGCGGCGCGGCGGACGAGCGCTTCGTCATCAAAAGCACCGCCGGGGTCGCAACTTCCGTTCGCATCAGGTCGAGGGCGCCGAGAACTTTGTTAGCGCCGCCCACCTCCTCCTCCTCCTCCTCCTTTGCCCTGTTTGACCCTCTCCTTCGCCCGTTCTCCCTCCCTCCCTCCCTGCCTCCTTCCCCCGCCCCCTCCCTGCGTCCTTCCCTCCTTCCCTCCCACCCTCCCTTTCACGATGCTCTCATAAGCTTTATTTATTTTCCTTTTTTCTTGCTCTATTAGTTTGTTTTTTTTCTTCTGCTTGTCCATGTGCCATGTTTTCCTCTCATTCTCTCTATCTTTCAATCACTTTTGTCTTTCTCTCTCACTCTCTCTCTTTCTCTCTTTCTCTCTCTCTCTCAATCACTCTCTCTCTCTCTCTCTTTCTCACTCTCTCTTCTCTCACTCTCTCAATCACTCTCTCTCTCTCACTCCCTCCCTCCCTCTCCCTCTCTCTCTCTTTTTCTCTCACTCTCTCTCTCAAATAAAAGCAAAATGTGGCCGTACGTCATCGGGTCTGTGAAGCGCGTCTGTACATGATACCTCTCTCAAAACGCCCCTAAAATCATATTGCCATTTTTCAGTGTGACTATAACAAGACCCAAATGTGATTACTTCATTCCAACAACCACGTTAAGAAGAGCCCCCCCCCCCCTCCACCCCTTCCACCCCCACCCCCGCGGCGCTCGCTTCGAGAACTTTCCTCCGCCCGCTCTCCGTCTCGCCCGAATTTCTTGATCAAATTTGACACGGTCCCCCAATCAAGGCGTTTTCAAATCGCATTCGATAATAATTCTATTGACCCTCTCTATTTCTACGGTTATCGAATTGCTGTTGCTTCAATATGGCGCCTGCGAGAGGTAACGAGCGACCGGCACCAAGTGTTGATACGAAACTTGTTGATACGCGCGATATAAATTGCATTTCTGGGAAGACTTGCTGAGGAGGCAGGAGGTCGTAGGAGGCCGGGAAGGCGATGGGAGGGGGGAAGGAGGACGGAAGGGAGGGGAGGAGGGGGGAGGGAAGGGAGGGAGGGAGGGAGGGAGGGAGATAGGGAGGAGGGAGATAGGGGGGAGGGAGGGGAGGAGGAGATAGGGGGAGGGGGGAGGAAG